TTATCTGACGCAAGTCCGATGAAGTACGCATGCGCATTTCGGTTTCTGTTTAATTTGTATTTCATGCGTTCTTTTTTTAGTGTTCTTTTTTAATATTGGTTCAACTGAAGATGGCCGTTTAAAAACGGTTGAAAACGTTTTTATTAAACATTATTTATTGCTGGATAGTTAAAGGTTTATTTTATTTTATTTATATTATTCATTCCAGTATAAGTTCTTGTTTTTATTTATTGTCTGTACCTAGCCACAAATTGTTAACCATATAATTTTTTACATTTTTAAATGCTATTAAAAATGTATTATTGCACAAACAATCAAAATGTCATTATTTTGAAAATAAAACAAGGTAACATCAACTCCACTAAAATCACAAAAAACTTTTTTTCTTAATTTCAGTTCTGTAAACTTTTTATTGCATCTTTTAAATTTACTTGATCAGCAATTTCATGCTCAATTGCCAACATGGCCAAACCATTAAGACGATTCATCAAACTAAACAACAACTTAATTATAGATGTACTTACCTTTAAAAATTAAGAAATCGCACTTAAGTAAATTTTATGAACTTCCACTTGTTATCAGTATCAATGTAATAGCAAGAATAATGCTATTGTGTAATGAAACCGCTCTTTTATAATTAGAGGTAAGTATAAGCGAGTCTATGTATGTTCAAACAGAAGCTGAAGCAGTGCTCTGCTCTGCTATTCTGCTCTACAGAATAGCATAGAATTCTAATGCTATTCTGTTCAGAGAAGTATATGCAAGTTCAAGCATCGTCCTTTACAAATTCTGCATTAATTTTTCAATAATAGTGTAAATATTTTTAGCTTTTAGACATAAACAATATAAATACGATATGCACTGTAAATTTTTAGTGAACGAAAAAATTGATAAGTAAAATTTTCTATTAATTGAGTATTTAACACACCAATTCTTTTCTCACGCTTACAGCCAAAATGGTGCCCCTAAACTTTGGCGCCCCGGACAAATGTCCGGGTTGCCCACCCCTAGAGCGGGCCCTGCCACCAGTGGCCAAGCAGTTTTGTTCCCTGAACACTGGGAGTTTGGTTATGGATTTGTGCCTGACCAGTGGGCTGCCCACATGGAATTTTCCGGGTTTTCTCCACGTCTGTAATGCCTGAATAGGAGCCAGTTATCCTTAAAAAGGTTATTCCCCCTAGGCAGATTGCCCAAGTGTTGCATTGCCGTAACTTAATTAAACAAACAAAAAGTAAAGACCAGATGTATCCACGTTTGGATGAAAAACCATATTAAAATATAACTGATAATTGACATTTGTGATTATCAATTAGTAGTATAGTAAATATAGCCAGATAGACAAAACTAGAAATAGAACTAGTATTCAGTTAGTTCTGCTAGTTACTTCATGCATTATATTCATATTTTTAAAGTAATTAGGTTGGATGGTATCCCAGTGACTAAGTTTTAATTAAATATTCTTGTTTATTTTTATTACATAAAAAATTTTATGTTGATTCTTTATAAAATTTATTTATACATTATTATTGTTTTTTAGAATTTTTATTTGATAAACCCTCATGAAGTTTTATTCTGTATAATTTTAATTGGGAGGCGTCTTCAATTGAGTCTTTTTAAAAAGGTAAGTTTCTTTTTATTTTATTGATTTTTAAAGAAAAAAAAATCTATTGGTATTTTACAAAATAAACTTTTTCTGAATTGTAATTACTGTATTCAGTTTTAATAATTCAATACAAAAACTTGGAAGTTTTAGTGTAATGAAGCTGTGTGGATGAAGAATTTTGTTTGTAAGGTGAAATTTCATTAAATTTAAATATAATTATACACTATATATTACGTTATAACCAGTTTAAAATTGGGAGATTGAATTTTAAGTTAATTTTTTGTCAAAATATTCATCCAAAAACTTACTTTGTACAGTATTATTTTTTCTGGGATTATTATGTTGTTTTATTTGTAATAATTTAAAATACTATATAGAAAAAATGGTAATAATTTTTATATCTAAAAACAAATCAGATTTTTATAAAGAACATACTGTATTTATAACTAAACACACTTAAGAAAACCTTTAAATATGCAGCCATATTTATGAAATCCTAACGTTTTCAGTCTTATTTAATGACCTTTATCAAGAATAAACGGAAAAAGAGAAAAAATCGAACTCCGAATTCTGAGAAAATTTGAAATACTGATACCCGGTATCGGTATTTCAAATTTTCTCAGAATTTGATTTTTTCTCTTTTTCTGTTTATTCTTGATAAAGGTCATTAAATATGACTGAAAACGTTAGGATTTAATAAATACAGCTACATATTTAAATGTTTTCTTGAGTGTGTTTAGTTATTAAGAAATGCAGTCTACGATGAGTTCTAACTGTATTTATTCTAATAAATAGTATGGTCATAAGATGAAAAACGTTATAGACAGTACACACTAATAGTAAGCATGCTGTTATTGAAGGAAGATAAACATATTTTAAAACTGAAAAAAATTGCATATTCTATTTAGTGTTATCACTCTTATCATCTGTCAAAATAACGTGTGAGTTTGTTAAATGTTGTATTGTTCAAATAATAATGTGAAAAACTTACCAGATTTATTCCCATTAATAGTAGTTGCATCAAATTTCCAAAGAATAAAAATAATAATTGCCTTTAATAGTAAGCTCTCTAATAAACAGTTACAAGTTGAAAAAAGTTATAGATGACAGGCTGTTTATTAGAATAAATACTGTAGTTTATATGAGAGAGATCCAATCACTAAAAGAAAGGAGATAATGAACTTCAAAAAGTCACTATATTAGATAGTAACTTTTACTAATCTATCATATTGAATGTATTTGCATTCCTACATTTTATCATTGGATAATACCATGCAGTAAGATATCAGTCTACTGCTGTTACAAATCAAGTTACTGTAAGAGTATCCAGACACTCATACTTTTTCATGGATATTATGATAATCACCTAATTAAAGTGTCTATAATGTCATCTTGAAAACATTTTAAATGTTAAAAATGAGTTTAAATTAAATGTTTATTACTAGTAAAGCTAATTTGAACTAACATGGGTATTGAGTAATACAGCCAAAAACATCTATACTACGTCTATAAATGAAGCTTAATTGTATCACATGTTTGGATTGTTGTTTTGGACTATAAATGTAAGACATATCTCTGTTTTGGAGCAGTAACCATGAGTAAAAAGTGTGTTTTGGGATAAATAAAATATGGAAATAATAAAATTGAAATGTTTTAAATTTAATGCTAAATGTTGTTGTAATGCATTGGGCTATTTTTGGCTACATTATTAATTCAGTTTTTAAGTAATTTGTTTCTAGAGGTAGATGTTATGTGCCATCTCTTATTAAATTTAATGATTAGAATAAATTAATATTTAATAAATAATTTAGAATATTCTGGATGAAAAGAATTAGCCTGGAGCAGATTCCCAAACTTTTGATTACCATGCAGATGCATTGCCAGTTATGTTATCCAGACCTCTGAGCAATTCTTCTCTTCCAGACATATTTAATCTTAGATGTAACCACCCATGGTTATGCATAGCACCGGCTGAGGGCAAATTACTTAAAAAATTCTGGATGAAAAGAATTAGCCTGGAGCAGATTCCCAAACTTTTGATTACCATGCAGATGCATTGCCAGTTATGTTATCCAGACCTCTGAGCGATTCTTCTCTTCCAGACATATTTAATCTTAGATGTAACCACCCATGGTTATGCATAGCACCGGCTGAGGGCAAATTACTTAAAAATTTAACTAATGATATGTTTATATTTTAAATTTAATTTATGAAAATGTTCTTTAAAAATGATTTAAGAGAGAGAGCTTAATTTTGAAAAATTTTTAAAAATTGTATTATAATTAATCAAAATTTAAAATATATTAAAATATTTCATTAAAAATATTAAATAATTTTTTAAAATCAGTTTTGTTTCAAATGTTTACCAACATCGCTTCAAGTGACGGGCTTGCAGATCAGTCGGATATTTGTCATTTCAACTGAAATTCCGTTTATTTTATGGTGTTCCTATTACATATTACTACAGCATGGAACTTTAAGTGTATTCTGTTTAGGTTATCCGTAAGTATTATTTAAATCTTAATCTAAATGAAAAATTTTATTTTGTTAACAATTTTATATGTAAAAAAAATATAGCAGCTTTATATTATAATATAGCAGCTTTATATTTAAATTATAATTTGTTCCTAAAGCTGCATAAAGCTTTAGGAACAAATTATAATTACAGATATCCCTCATAAACACTGTAGTTAAGTTTCGAAAAAGTGCCGTGTTACGTGAACCTGTGTTACATGAGACAAAGGTCTAGTACAAAACAGAGTTATGTTCCAAGAGTTAGCAAAAGTATACTATTCTATAATTAAGAGAAATATGTTTATTAAAGCAATCAATAATTAACTAATAATCATAATCAAAAGTATTGCACATTAATATTAATTTTTTCTTTCACTGCTAAACACCATTAAATGATGATGATTTCTTTTTGGCAAAATAATCTTTTGAGCTTTTTGTTGACCTTAATCTCAAGTATTGGCAACATCTTGATTTTTCTGTACTTTTTTCTTAAAATCTGACATTTTTAGAGGATTGCATTTGCCTAAGGAATTGTTACAAATTTAATCTTTTTATATAGTAACTTTTAATTTAATATAAAACAAAACACAACAACAGTGTTTTGGGTTCAGATAGAGCAGTGTTTTTCAACCTTTTTCTCATTGTGGACTGGTAAAATTATTTATAATTTTAATGGTCAAGTAATTATAATCAACTATGAATTATGCTTATTTATTAAGCTTATGTTTATCTAGAGTTACTATACATAATAAAGTATATACAGTAACTCTAGATTGCTATTTAAATGTCACCCATAATCAACTACCCTAGCTTCAGTATGATCAAATATTTTTCTGTAGCCTGGTGAAATTTTTTTGCAGAGTGGCAGTTGAAAAACACTGATTTAGGGCACTGTCATCAATGACAGTGACATCTGCTTTATAGGAAGCTAGGACAAGGAAGAAAAAAATTGTACAATCGGTTTTCATTAAAGAAAACTAGGCAAAAAGTATGAAACAACATTGAAAATTTCAATATTCTAAAATCCATGGGCTAATATGAGACAACACACATTGTTACTTGAATAAAACAAAATATCAAATGACATGTTTGCACTTAAAAATTGTGATGTTTTGTATGGGGACGTCACCAATGCTTGAATTGCATTAGAGCAATTTTGGTAGTGTGTTGTGTGGTTGATTTTAGCAATTCTCAAACTGTGTTATATGAGGGATACCTGTATTTTAAACTAGCTGATATACCTTGTGCCGTTTGGACAAAAAGTAAGAACAACAAACATTAAAATGAAAACTATATTAAGAGTTTTGTTATTTTAGCCTACCATTGTCAGTCATTCTTATCAGTGTTAAAATAATAATTTATTGTAATAAAAAAAAAATTCCTTTTTTAANCATTTTCATGATATGATCTCAGTTTCAGAATGGATTAATTTCGTATCCTGAGGTACCACTGTATATAAAACAAAATTTTTTTTAAATTTAATTTGATAACATATATACAGAACCACTAAGCATAACTCAGAGAAAATGACAAATATCTTCAAAACAAAACTGATACTATTAATATATTTAAAATTTCATTCTGATATCAGTAGCATAATTAGAGAGAGGTCCAGGGAGCTTGGGACCTTTGTAAATGAATTAATAAAGAAATGTTAGTAAACAAACAAGGAATCCAATTTGTTTGTTAACATTTCATTATTTATTAATCTGTTAAACTGTGCTTAAAATTTGTAAATAAATTAAGAAAAAAAATTAAATCAGTACAGGAAAAAATTTGAACAAGACATAATGCACTTATACACATGTATTAGGGGCAATCAAATGAAAATGAGACAGACTATATAACAAGTGTGGCACGGAAGTTGGTAATGCAGGTAGGTGTGTATATAGAAGTGCCCTCTATTGGGAATCAGGAAAGAACAGTGTGAACATTCACCGCTGTGCCATTTGTCTGTTAGATGTGCTCAAAGTGAGGTCGGTGAGTCGTGTGTGCGTCCAACATCACTATGGAAGTCTGCTGCTTGTTGACTTTCTGGAACACGGTGCCACAATTAATGCACAATTAATGCACATGGTACATAGAAACTTTGCAAAAATTGAAGCGTGCCATCAAATCCAAACACCTAGGAATGTTGACAGACAGCATCATTCTGTTGCAGGATAATACCCACCCACATGTTACCAAGATGTTTTGACTACGCTATGGACTACATAGTCTATACACATCATCCATACAGTCCCGATTTCTCCCCATGTGAATTCCATATTTTTAGAACCCTGAGGAAGGACATTCTTGGCCGTCAATTTGCTTCAGATGAAAAGGTGCACGCCTGGATACAATCATGGCATAGGCAACTGCAAACATTTTTCTATGAAAGCATTGATCGTCTTGTCTTACAGTGGGATAAATGTATTAACAGTTATGACAATTACTTTTGAAATAATAAACAGTTTGCTTACTTTTTTCCCATCTGTCTCGTTTTCAATTGACTGCCCCTAATATATGCATTTATCTCAGTTTACTTTCATATGCAGTGATACAAGGATGAATGTAGGTTCGCATATGCTAATTCAGATTTAATTTTGGTTCTAGTTTCACTACTGTTTGATATGGCTAGGAAAAAATGGTATGCCATTTTAAAAATATGTTTTAGATAGTATTCTTTCTTATTATTTATAATCTGAATTATCATTGATGAAAAGTTAAATCTATTTTCTATTGTGTTGGTGTTTTGTCAAGTGATTTGTGATTCTGAAGAACCAATTATCAAAGTTAAATAAAACACTTCTTTTTTAGTTTAGATGAATTCCTATAATTGTGATTTTATTCTTAACTCTTAGAAGCATACCACCTTTTCTATTTTTTTTTTTTTTTTTTTTTCCTGGAAGCTGCATGGTGGTATATTTCTTCTACCAATATTTGAACATCTTGTTTTGGTTCTTTTTCTTTCCCATAGATGGTACATGCTTACTTTTTATGTTTCTGCTGTAATATATTTCCACCATTGTGTGGTGGTATTTTATGGTGTGCCTTTTGCTGTTTTATTTTTTCAATTATAAAGTGAGAATTTATTTTCTGATTTTGTCTTCAGTATCCACTCTACAGTATCTATAAACAGTGTGTATGATGAGCTAAACATTTATTATCTATGTAGACTTAATGGCTGAGTAAATTAGGTGATACGTTATTATCATTGTGCATGTATCAAATAAAACCTTACATTTTTTTTCATTTGTATTGTAGCATATTTTGTTTGAAGTTTATTACTACTTGAAAATATTTTATTGAGTGCTTTTTAGTTTCATGTTATTTCTAATTTACCTTTTGAAGGTTTCCAAATTAATAAAATGGATAATTTGAATAATGATCAAGTAAGAGCAGCTTTTGCTGAAATACCTTCTTATGATGAATCTGTTGTGGACTATTCTGATGAAGATGATAACCCTACATTTTCTCCTGTGACAAAACCATCAGTATTAGAAGTGGAAATATCTTTCAGTTTGCCATCTGATATTGAAGATGTGATTGATGTGGACATAGCTCTGGTATCAGTAGTTGCACCTTTGCAACCACATGGGGAAGACAATTCACTCCTAATATTATCACAGAATTACAAGGTGTGTAGGCCCAGTTCAGACATTAGAGATTTAGAGAATCCAACACCAGTCAATGTATTTCTGAAGATATTTATAGAAGAATTACTTGACCTAATTATCTTTCAAACTAAATTGTATGCCACACAATCTGGCAAAAGATCTGTCAACTGTCCACTTCTGATGAAATTAGTACATTTCTTGTTATTAATTTGCTGATGAGGATTTAAAAAAAAAGCAATCATCATACAGAATTATTGGTCAAGTGCTTCAGAACTTTACAATTCTTATATTTCCACCTTATGACAGTAAATTGTTTCATCTGGCTTCTTAGTTACATTCATGTAAATGATAACAGCTTACAGCCAAAGGAAGGAAATTTAAGGTTTATTTATTTATTTTCTATGAATATGAGAAAAGTACAATTGTTATTCACAAGCATTGTTGTGTTAAAAACTATTTTTCTGTCTTGATTAATTAATAATAATATATAAAAATGATATTCAAATGACTTTGTCACAATGCTGGGCTGCAATTTTTAATCATATTCTTAATTTATTTAATCTAAAATATATGTTCTCCATATCAAATTAGTAGTGTCTTGCCCTGTACATCATACTTTTCCTGATAACAACAGTCATGCCAATTATCTATAACTCCATTCAGGAGAGAATATTTGAATTGAATTTGTGACTTCTAGTCTAGACCAGAAGTTTATATATATTAGGTTGTTCGGGAAGTAAGTTCATTTTTTTTACCACTAGACGATTAGTCATATTTTTTCCGCCATTTTTATTCTAAACCGTGTTATCGTTATATATTTTGACAGCTAGCATTTTAAGGCTTATTTGTAAAAAATTTTGTTTGATTTTGTGCAATTGTTTATTTTTTGTGTCCCATCAAATATGGAAGATCGAAAACAGCATTTTCAGCATATTTTGCTTTTTTATTACCAAAAAATCAAAATGCTGTTCAAGCAAGAAAAAATTGTGGTACTGTATGGAGATGATGTGTTGAGAGAAAGACGGTGCCAAAACTGGTTTACAAAATTTCATTCCGGCAATTTCAATATTGAAGATGCACCATGTTCTGGATGGCCAGTTGAAACCAATGAAAACAAAATAAAGGTACTGATTGAAGCAAACTGCCGAATAACAACACGTGAAATCACTAAGAGATTAAATTTGTCAAATTGAACCATTTATGATTACTTGAAACAAATTGGTTTCGTTTCAAAGCTTGATACATGGGTTCACATGTTCTTAAAGAGAGATGCTCTCTTTGGTGGGATTTTAAGGAAATTTTTTTTTTGCAGTTTTACCAGACAATTTAACAATTGATTTGAAAGTGTACTGCCATCAAGTATACAAATTGAGTAATATCATCAAACAG